GCTCTACCGACTAAGCTAAGGAGGCGAAGTGACCTTTTAAAAAGTGCCATTTGATTCAATTTTGAAATGAAATGAATTTCATTTAATTCATTTCAAATTAAATGAGTTTTAAATGAGCTTTATAAAACACCACTTTGAATTTTTCACCACCTGTTCAAGGCTTTGTGGGCATTTCCGGGGTATTTCTTGCAGTTGGCCGTGGATTGAAAAGGACTTATTTATTTTGTTTATTTCCTTTCAACTTTTTCAACTTAATAATTAATTAATTAAAGCAAAGAATAAAAGATGAAAAAATAACTTTTTTCGTTCTGTTTCTTGGCTGAGTCCGGGGGACGTGAGGAAGGTGACCCAGCCTCCCCAGCTGGTAAGCAGCGGAGATTTCGACAAAATTTATCTATTTTCGAGTTTAAAAAGCTTTTATTGGACTATTTAATGTTATTTTGTCATTTAAATTGTTAATTTCAGACTTAAAAGTCCATTTAAACTCTTATTTCAGGACGGTGACCTCCGCCTCCTTAGCTTAGTCGGTAGAGCATCCGCTTAGTAAGCGGAAGGTCGCCGGTTCGATTCCGGCAGAAGGCTTTTCTTTTTGCTCCTTTTGACGCAATTTGAATTTCTAATTTCATTTTGTTTCATTTTATTTTATTTTACTTCATTTTACTTGTCATTTCTCTCCGGGCGTGCTCTCCGTGGCCTCTGTTGGCAGCCAACTTGAGTTTCTTTTGAAGGAAATGAAAGAAAGCCTCGTCCATATATATATGCATACATATATGTACTCACTTATATATTTATCTTTACTCAGTTCACTCAATTTAGTAAGAAGATCTGTGTCGAAGTCCAGTGGTCACTTGCGGGTGACCACTACTGGTGACCAGTGGTCACCTCCAGGTGCAGCCACTGACTACTACAGCTGAGTGCAGGAAAACACTTCTGTAGTCCTTCAAACTTTCGAAATCATTTTCTTTTTTTGTTTTATAAAACAAAGACTTCGCCAACAGTCCTTTGGCCAGCTGGCGAAGTGGAAAAGAAAAAAATAAAATTTAATTCCTTTCTTCAGCGAGATTCAAATTAAAAGAAAACTGAGAAACAGCCAAAGAGACAGAAAGACAATAATAACAACATTTATAATCTTCACAATAATAATAACAACAATAACAACAAAAGTGAAGACAGAAATAAGAGAATGAGGAAATAAATGACTGAGTTGCTGCTGCGCTTTTGAGTCGCTTTGCGTTGATTAATTTGCTGCTGCTGCTGCCTATACACCTCAGTTCGCTAATTAAGCTCATTCATAGACAACTGCTACTAATCAGTTCCTCCCCACAAGCAGCAGCAGGGTTTGCTGCTGCTGCTGCTGCTGCTGCTGCAGCAGCGGCAGCCACTTCGCTGCCGCCCCTCGAGAGGCAGAACTGTCTTTTTGCTTCGAACCGCGCACTCGGCGTCGTCACCACTGGCAGCAGCAGCATGTAAAGTGGTTGCTGCTGCTACGACAGCAGTAGATTTACTGCTGGCCCTCAAGAGGAGCGTAAATATCCGCGTGAGGCGCTGCACTAAGTGCGAGCAGCAGCTGCAGCAGCACTTGCTGGTATCGCTTTTTTTGCTGCTGCTGCAGTTGCTGCTGCTCCTGCTCCTGCTGCTTCTGCTGCTGTTCCAACAGCAACGGCTACTGCTGCTGCTGTTTTAGCAGCAGCAGCTACTGCTGCTGCGGCTGCCAGCTGCTGCTGCTGCTGCAGCAGCAGCCACTGCTGCTGCTGTTTTAGCCGCAGCAGCAGCTGCCGCTGCTCGCCCCCGCCGCCGCAGCAGCAGCAGCAGCAGCAGCAGCAGCAGCAGCAGCAGCAGCAGCAGCAGCAGCTACTGCCAGCCCTCGAGGGGCACGTCGGTGTTGGCGTCTAGGGGCGCGCTGGGAATGACCATCATGGGCAGCGAGAGAGCTCCAGCAGCAACCCAAGCTTTATAATGTTCAATTTCTTTTTTGAATTCTGCAACAGCAAGTCGCCGGTAGGCCTGCAGTTCGGGGGCGTCCACGTCGCCTTCGAACAGCTGCTGCTGCTGCTGCTGCTGCTGCTGCTGCTGCTGCTGCTGCGTTGCTGCAGCGGGCGCCGCAGCAGCAGCAGCGCCTGCTGCAGCGCCTGCAGCAGCAGCAGCAGCAGGCGCTGCGGCGGGCGCTGCTGCGGCGGTTGCGGGCGCGGCTTCCCTGGTTTCGGGCGGAGCCTCCGCGGCGCCTGCTGCTGCTGCTGCTGCTGCTGCTGCTGCTGCTGCTGCGGTGGCGGGCGTGGCGGGTGCTCCGGCGTAGGTGGCGTTTCCCTTGTGGAACTGCGCTGCTGCTGCTGCTGCTGCGCCGACTGCTGCTGCTGGCAGCAGCTCTTCCATGCCGAGGGCCTTCATGAGCTGGACGACCACCGAATAGCCGTCGACGACGACGGCCTCCTCCGTGGACAGCGCCACCCTGCGCCCCTGCTGCTGCTGCTGCTGCTGCTGCTGCTGCTGCTGCTGCTGCTGGAAGGTGAGCTCGCTGCCGGTGACGCGGGCAATGACGCGGCGCATTCCCTCCACCAACCTGTACAGCAGCAGCAAAATGAAAGCCCGGCGGACCAGCCAGGCCCAGTGCAGCAGCAGCCGCAGCGCGAGGCGCCGCAGACACAGCAGCAGCAGCTGCTGCAGCTGCTCGCCGTCGAGGATGGGCAAGTTGCGGTAGACCAGCCAGAGCCCCTTGGTGACCACTGGATACAAATCTGAAGACAAGACAAGCTCGAGGGCACTTCGGAAAAAAGCAAAGTCGAAGTTCGGAGGCAGCGGCAGCCCCCGCTGCAGCAGCTGCTGCAGCCACAAGTCCAGGCAGCTGAGGGCGCTGTGCACCTGCTGGCTGCTGTGGGCGTGGGTGCGCAGCAGCAGCACTTTGACCAGCACTGACAGCAGCTTTTCGTTGGCCAGCACTGCAGCAGTGCAGCTGACAAGAGAGTCTGGGTACTTTGCTGCTGCTCTGGCCTTGAGTTCCAGCAGCAGCCTTTTAATGAGTGTGGGGTAGCCCGGCAGCTGCCGCCACTCCACGCTGCTGCTGCTGCTGCTGCTGCGCGCGCCCGCTGCAGCAGGCGCTGCTGCTGCAGCAGCCTGCACCGCCCGCACCCACTGCTCCAGGAAAGTGAAGAAGCTGCTGCCAGCAGGCCCCAGCTCTTCGCCCCAGGCTGCTTCGGGGGCCAGTTTGCTGCGGATGGAGTCCAGGTCTTCCTTAAGTGCTGCAGGCCCGAAGTAGCTCAGCAGCAGCAGGTGCAGCGGCTCCCACTGCAGCAGCAGCCGCAGCGGGCTGCCCGCGCCCCACTGCTCTGCTGCTGCCAAGCTGCTGCTGTCCAGCAGGAAGTCCGTGCCCCGCCACTCCTCCACTGCTGCAGCACGGCCTTCTGCTGGCAGCACGCTGCGCAGCAGCGCAGCACGAAAGGCCGGCAGCCGGAAGTACAGCAGCGCCAGCAGCAAACAAGACAGCCGCCGCTGCCCCCCGAAGGAGGCCTCAGCCCCCAGCAAGCTGAGGGCCCCCGCCAGGGCCCTGTGCAGCAGCAAACGGAATTGTCTGCAGAGTTTGAGTCTTTTGTGGAAAAGCACAACAGCAAACTTGGCTTCCGGGCTCAGCTGCAGCGCCAGCTGCTGCAGCGCCAGCTGCCGCGCAGCCGGCACTGCTGCGAAGTGCTGCTGCTTCCACAGCGCCGCCTCCTCCCCGCTGCTGCTGCTGCCTCCTGCTGCTGCTGCTGCTGCTGCTGGCAAAGCCCGCCCCAGCTGCGCAGCAGCTTCCGCGTCCCCAGAGCCCATCACCGCCACCCCCGCGTTCCGCAGCCGCTGCAGCGCCGCCCCCAGGTAACTCCGGGGGCCACCCCCCTCTTCCGCCCCGTTGCTGCTGCTGCTGCTGCTGCTGCTGCTGCTGCTGCTGCTGCTGCTGTTGTTGTTGTTCGCGTTGCTGCTGCTGCCGCTGCCGCCCATGCCCATGTTGACGCTCACGCTGAGCCGCGGCAGCGGCAGCAGCGCCGCGCTCACCGACAACCGGCTGCTGCTGCTGCTGCTGCTGCTGCTGCTGCTGCTGCTGTTGTTGTTGTTGGCGGCTGCCTGGCCGGGCGCGGCGGCCTTGCCGTTGGGGGCAGCAGCAGCGTTGCTGCCGTTGTTGCTGCTGCCGCCGCTGCTGCTGCTGGACCCTGGGCTGCTGCTGCAGCCTCCGTCTGGGAGGTCGAAGTCGATGGACCTCTGGGAGACGAAGAGCTTGAGTTTGGGGTCGGCAGCAGCAGCAGCGCCCTCCGCAGCAGCAGCAGCGCCCTCAGCCGCAGCAGCAGCGGGGTCTGCGGCGCCCTCAGCAGCAGCAGCAGCAGCAGCAGCAGCAGCGTTCTGCGCCTTGATCGCCGCGTACAAAACATAAACTTCAGACCAAGACAAAGCAGCACAACTCTCGGGACGAGGAGGCAGCAAAGTGCCCAAGTCCAACTCTCCTCTCTTCAGAATTGCGCAAAGAGCAGCACAGTAGCTGCCGCGGCACTGCCAGTAAACGAAGTTCACAAACTCCAGCAAATGATTCCCCAAGTGCAGCAGCACGCGCTGGCTGCGCAGCAGCTCGGCCTCGCTGCTGTAGAGGAAAGTTCGCCGGCCTTCGGTTTCGCTGCTGCTCAGCAGCTGCAGCAGCTCCTCGCATGCAGCCCGCACCGCCTCCAGAGACTGAGCAGCAGCAGCAGCAGCAGCAGCAGCAGCAGCAGCAGCAGCAGCGGCGGGTTCAAACACGCACGAACTAGCTCTGCTGATCCACAACCAGCAGCAGATCAACGGCCAAACCAGCAGCAACACGTGAACATCCCCAGCAGCAGCAGCAACAGATGAACGGCCAAACCAGCAGCAGCAGATGAACATCCACAGCAGCAGCAGCAGATGAACATCCACAGCAGCAGCAGCAGCAGCAGATTAACATCCCCAGCAGCAGCAGCAGAAGAACATCCCCAGCAGCAGCAGCAGAAGAACATCCCCACCAGCAGCAGCAGATGAACATCCCCAGCAGCAGCAGCAGATGAACATCCCCAGCAGCAGCAGCAGATGAACATCCCCAGCAGCAGCAGATGAAGATCCCCAGCAGCAGCAGCAGATGAACATCCCTGTCCCCCGCAGCAGCAGATGAACATCCCCAGTAGCAGCAGCAGCAGATGAACATCCCCAGCAGCAGCAGCAGATGAACATCCAGGAGCAGCAGCAGAACATCCCCAGCAGCAGATGAACATCCAGGAGCAGCAGCAGAAGAACATCCCCAGCAGCAGCAGAAGAACATCCCCAGCAGCAGCAGAAGAACATCCCCAGCAGCAGCAGCAGAAGAACATCCCCAGCAGCAGCAGCAGAAGAACATCCCCAGCAGCAGCAGCAGATGAACATCCCCAGCAGCAGCAGCAGATGAACATCCCCAGCAGCAGCAGTCGCAGCAGCAGCAGAACATGCCCAGCAGCAGCAGCAGCAGCAGAACATGCCCAGCAGCAGCAGCAGCAGCAGGAGCGCAGCGGGTACCTTGGCAGCGTCATTTTGCGGTTCCGCGTGGTGTCGTTTGCCGACGGCGAAGAGCGCGGCGACGGCTCCGGGTTGCTGCTGCTGCTGCTGCTGCTGCTGCTGCTGCTGCTGCGTCTTGGTGGCGATGAGGTGCAGCAGCAGCTCGTGCAGCCGCGCGAGCCTGGCCACCGGAGCCGGCACTGCAGCAGCAGCAGCAAAAGTGAAACTCACCGGCCGGTGCTCGTGGCCAAGAACTGGAGGGAAAATCCGGCAGAGTCCTTTTTCTGTGAGAACTCCAGCACAGGCCTGCCGCAGCAGCGGGGCGTTTTGGAAGCAAAGAACTCCCTCGAGAAAGCCCACTTTGCGGCCTTCTCGCCAGAGCTTTTCGCGGAAAACTGCGGAGAAGTGGTCCATTGGTCCTTTTTGAACAAAGTCGGAGTCACAAAGTTTGAAAAAAGGAAGCCAACACTCCCCGAATAGCTGCGGCTGGTCAGCAGCAAACAAGAACGAGTGCAGCCGCACCCGCAGGTAGTGCTGCCGCAGCTGCTCCACAGTGGACTGCAGCTGCAGCGTCGGCAGCCGCTGCAGCAGCACTTGCTGCAGCAGCACGCCGCCTGCAGCAACTGCTGCCAGCCGCGCGCACGTCCGCCGCGGGTCCAGCCGCGCCACAGGCCACTCCTCCGCTGCTGCTGCTGCTGCTGCTGCTGCTGCTGCTGCAGCAGCAGCGGGAGAGCCCGCAGACGACCCCGGAGAGCCCTCGGGCTCCTCGCCCGCAGCAGCAGCAGCAGCAGCAGCAGCAGCAGCGGCGGGAGCGGAGGGCGAGGACTTGTTCTTGCTCGAGCTCCTGTCCTTCGCCGCTGCTGCAGCAGCAGCACCGCTGCTGCTGCTGCTGCTGCTGCTGCTGCTGCTGCTGGGGGGGAGGTCGCAGTCCGGGGGCGCGGAGGCGAGCGAGAGGCTGCGGTTGCTGCTGCGGAGTTTGCTGCCCAGCAGCAAATGGTCCACTGAGTTCCAATAAGGCCTTTCACTAAGTCCTGTAGCAGCAGAAAAAACTTCCCGCGGATTGTCCACTCCTGTGGGGCAAAAGGAGACCAGCCAGTGCGCGCAGAGCCGCCCCACAGCTTCCTCCTCCAGCTCCTCGCTGCTGCTGCTGCTGCTGCTGCTGCTGCTGCTGCTGCTGCTGGGGGCGGGCTGCGGCGGCGGCTTGGGCGGCTCGCTGGGGCTCGCGGCGCGGCTCGCGCCGCCCCCAGCTGCTGCTGCTGCTGCTGCTGCTGCTGCTGCTGCTGCTGCTGCTGGCGAGGAAGGGGCCTCGCTCGGGGAGCCGCGGGAGGCCCGCACGATCGGCGCTGCTGCTGCTGCTGCTGCTGCTGTTGCTGCGCTCGCTGCTGTTGCTGCTGCCGCCGTGGCTTCCGACGCGGCCGCCGCAGCGACCGTCGTCGCCGCCGAAGCCGCAGCAGCAGCAGCAGCAGCAGCAGCCCGCGTGCTCGCCGCTGCAGCTCGGCTTGCTGCTGCTGCTGCTCGACTTGCTGCTGTTGCTGCTGCTGCATGCCGCCGCGGCCGCTCCCCGCAGCGAAAGTCCCGCAGCCGCCCCCCGTGGGAGTGCAGCGGCGCTGCCCTTGTGGGGCAAAAGACTTCAGACTTCGAAAGCCGGAACTGCGGCCTGCTGCTGCTGCTGCTGCTGCTGCTGCTGCTGCTGCTGCTGCTGCTGCTGGAGGTGCTGCTGGTGGCGGCGGTGCTGGCGCCGCTGCCGGGCTGCTGCGGCTGGCCGTCCTTGGCGGCGGCAGCAGCAGCTGCTGCTGCCGCGTCGTCGCCCGCGTGCTGCGGCTGCTGCTGCTGCAGCACCTGCTGCTGCTGCTGCAGCACCTGCTGCTGCTGCTGCTCCTCCTCTTCTTCTTCATCTTCACTCTCACTATCTGCTGCTTCGGAAGACTCCGTCAAATGCGCGAGGATTTCAATTGGATTAATTATGAGGTTGCAGATTTGCTGCATGCGGACGTCCATGATGAGGCGCCCGGAAGCAGCAGCAGCAGCAGCAGCAGACCCCGCAGCAACTCCAGCAGCAGCTGCTGCTGGCTGCAGCAGCAGCACGTCGTGGTGCAGCGGCCCCGTCGCCACGGCGTAGAGGCTCACGGAGCCCGTGCCGATCACCCGCAGCCCCCCCTGCCACTGCTGCTGCTGCCGCTGCTGCTGCTGCTGCTGCTGCTGCTGCTGCTGCTGCGGCTGCTGCACCTCCACCACCGAAAACACCAGCCGCCGCCTGTGCAGCTCTTCTATGGAAGCAGCAAACCAACTAAATTCAAAAGCATCAAACCACTTGGGGCATCTTCCGCGGGAGGGCTGCGTCATCAGCACCAGGCTGCCCCCCTCAGCTTCCTCCTGCTGCTGCTGCTGCTGCTGCTGCTGCTGCTGCTGCTGCTGCTGCTGCTGCTGCTGGTTTTGGTGGTCCTGGTCCTGCTGCTGCTGCTCCGTGTTGGCGTGCTGCTGGGGGTCGGTGTGCTGCTGCTCCGCGTCTGCGTCTGCGTCCGCGTCCGCGTCTGCGCCCCGCTGCTGCTGCTGCTGCTGCTGCTGCTGCTGCCGCTGCTGCTGCTGCTTGCTGCGGGGCCGCTTGTCCGCGGGCGCGGCCCACACCAGCTGCAGCGCAGCAAGGCTGCTGCTGCTGGGCAGCTCCAGCCCCCGAGCTCGCATGCCATTAATTCGAATGTGGAAAAGAAGTCCAGTTTCCAGCTGCAGCATTTCCCCAGAAAGCATGTGGTGGGGTGGCTGGCTGCTGACGTAGCTGTAGCCCGCGGGCAGCGGCTGCTGCTGCCGCTGCTGCCGCTGCTGCTGCTGCTGCTGCTGCTGCTGCTGCTGCTGCTGCGGCGGCGCGGCGGCGCCGGCGGCGCCCGCGGGCGCCTGCTGCTGCTGCTGCTGCTGCTGCTGCTGCTGGCCTAGGGAGGACAGCCGCGCTGCAAGGTCGCCGAGGCCGAAGCGGGAGGCCTCGGGGGCGGGGCCCGGCGGCTGCTGCTGCGCGTCTGCTGCTGCTGCTGCTGCTGCTGCTGCTGCTGCTGCTGCTGCTGCTCCCGACAAGCTGCCGCATGTGTCCTTCCGCGTCGAACTCTTGCGAGAAGCCACAGAAGCCACGCTCGAGGGCCGCCGCAGACCCCCCGTCCGCGACCTTGCTGCTGCTGCTGCTGCTGCTGCTGCTGCTGCTGCCACGCGCGGCGGCGGCGCAGGCACTAGGGACAGCCGCGAGCTCCGGCCCGAAGACCTCGAGCGGCTGCCGTGGATGTACTGCTGCTGCTGCTGCTGCTGCTGCTGCTGCTGCTGCAGCAGCAGCGCACGCTGCGAGGCGCCCCGGCCGTGGTACTCTGCAGAAAAGGAAGCAGCAGCAGGGCGCTGAGGCTCACCAGCTACGCTCTTCGCGCAGCCGGCACCCATTGTAGCGAGGCGGCCGCTGCTGCTGCTGCTGCTGCTGCTGCTGCTGCTGCTGCTGCTGCTGGCGGTGGTGGCGCTGCTGCTGCTGCATATGGCTCGTTCAAATTGAGGGGGTCTCGTTCTTCCTCTTCAAATGAAAAAGGCCCGGGCGAAGAAGTGCAGCAGCAAACTGCTGCTGGGGGAGGCCCTGCGCTGCTGCGCTGCAGGGAGCGGCTGGCGCGGCAGGGGGAGGCGGGGTGGGGCCTCAGGAGCCCTCAAATGGAAGCGTTTGTTTCATTTGGAGTTTAAATTTCTAAAAGAATTAAAATGGAGTTTAAAATTTTGCAAAACTCGGCAAAGAAAGGCCTGGACGGAAAATAACGCCGCGCCAGCCCGCGCCCCCCTGCGCCTGGCTGCTTCGCTCACCGGCGCTGCTGCCTTTCCCCGGGGGTTTTGAGCCCAATCAATCCCTAGTTCTTCAAACCCTAAACCCTAAACCCTAAACCCTAATTTAAATGCGCGCCTGGAGGGTCTGGGGCGCCGCAGCCTCGCCGCAGCGCCGCTGCGCCCAGCAGCAGACGGCTGCCAGCTGCCACACCGCGGCGGGCACTGCCCGCGGATCTGCGCACAAACGCTCCTTTAAATGCAAATTTAATTCAATTTAATTAAATTAAATAATTATTTCTTCTTTTTTATTCCGTTTTTTCCGCTTTTAGTCCAAAACCCGCAGCCAGAGCCTCCAGAGCCACTCCCCCCTGCAGGCGCTGCGCGGCTGCCGCCGCTGCCGAGGGCCGCAGCTCTGCTGCTCCCCCGGGCCTTCCTTTCTTTCTTTTTCTTTTTTATTCTTTTCAAATATTCTTTTTTATTAATTTCAAACTTTCAAAAATCTTTAATTCCAAAAAAATGGCGGAGACATACACCGCACGCCCCCCGCCCTCACGCCCAGGGCACACAGCCTCGCTGCTGCTCCCCTCTCCGCAGCAGCTAGCTGCAGCAGCTAGCCACGACTCCCTGCAGCAGCTAGCCACAGCTAGCTGGCGCTCCTGCCCCCGCTGCCCGCCCCAGCCGGCCCTTACGAGCTCCCCGCAGCTAGCCACGGCTAGCTGCCCCCCCACCCAGCCCGCTAGCCGCAGCTAGCCGCAGCTAGCTACGGCTGCAGCTAGCCACAGCTAGCCACAGCTAGCCACGCCCCTCTGGGTGCAGGGTAGCCGCGGAGAGCCATTAGCAGAAAGCGCCCGCCCTGGCTAGCTAGCTACGGCTGGCTAGCTAGCTAAAGCTGGCTAGCTAGCTAGAGCTGGCTGGCTAGCAGCAGCAAGCTGCAGCAAGATGGCCGTGGCCAGTGGTGTCTAGCTACTGCAGTCGTGGCCAGCTAGCTGTGGAGGTCAGCTCGCTAGCTAGCTGCAGCTGGCTAGCTAGCTAGCTGCAGCTGGCTAGCTAGCTGTAGGTGGCTAGCTAGCTGCAGCAGCTGATTCGGCACAGCTAGCTAGCCACAAGTAGCTGTTAGCGGTCTAGGGTTTTGCGGCGAATCTAAAACCCTAAACCCTAAACCCCAAACCCTAAACCCCAAGAAAAACTAAGGAACCAGAAATAAAGCTTAAACCCTAAACCCTACTAGGGCAGGGCGTGTCATTAAGGGTTTATAAAAGTTTTGGATTTAGGGTTTAGGGTTTGCTGCTTGCGGGGTCAGGGCAGGGTCTTCAAATTGCCGTTTGAACCCTAAACCCTAAACCCTAAACCCTAAACCCTAACCTCTCGCAGTAAATTCGATCCGCGTTCTTCATTAACCTCTAAATAAAAGCCAGAGAGGCAAAGGGAGACAATCTGCCTCCTACGGCTAGCCAGCCACAGGCAGAGTCAGGGCTAGCTAGCTAGCTAGCTAGCTAGCTAGCTAGCTGGCTAGCTAGCTAGCCAGCTAGCTGCAGTGGCGCTCTGGAGCTCGCCAGCTGGCTGTCGGAGAGCCGCTCCGCCTCCAGCTAGCTAGCTAGCCACGCTGCCTACAAGCTAGCTAGCCAACCACATTGTCCATTAGCTAGCTAGCCAGCTAGCTAGCTAGCTAGCCTGCCGCGCTGTCCATTACCTAGCTAGCTAGCTAGCTCGCTAGCCACGCTGCCTACTAGCTAGCTGGCTAGCCGCGCTGCCTCCTAGCTAGCCATCTGGCTAGCTACGAGCTGGCTAGCCAGCGCCGGCACTGCCGGGGCTGCTAATCTATTTGTAGATTGGCCTGGAGGCTCTTAAAGCTTTTTCTTTATTTATATTTTTGCTGCTGCAGCAACTCGTCGCTTTGCTGCTTCAGGGCGGCGAAGTAAACTGCAAGTCTTTCTTCCATGCGGCTGAGGGAGCAAAAAGGGCCAACAAACGAAGAAATAAATAACAAATATTAAAATAAAACGAAAAATAAACAAAAAAAACTATTTATTATTCAAAATGCGGAAAAAATCCAACAAAAAGACCCAAAACAACCCTGCAGCTTCGGGTGTACGTACACCCCAACTCACCGCGTCCTTGCGGGCTCCGCAGGCTGCGAACTTTCTCGGGTGTCTAGCCACCTGCAGCAAGAAGGAAATAAAAGAATAATAAAACAAATAAATAAATACATTTATAATATTTATTTTAAATAAATAAATTCATTTAAAACAATTTAAACTTTTTATTCCCTTCTTGGCGGCTTCGCTGGACTGCCAGCTGCAGCGGCTGGGGTGTACGTACACCCTAGCAGACAAATTCTAAAGTTGAATTGGAATTATAAAATAATTAATTCATCAACAATGCTTCTGTTTTCTAATTGCTCTTGTAGCTTCGGAGTGCTGCTGCTGCTGCTGCTGCTGCTGCTACTGCTGCTGCTGCTGCTGCTGCTGCTGGTGCTATTGCTCCTGCTGCTACTGCTGCTTGTGCTACTACTACTGGTGCTTCTGCTGGTGCTCGTGCCTCTGTGCTGCTGCTGCTGCTGCTGCTGCTGCTGCTGCTGCTGTTTGGAAGCTCACGCTGCAGGCAACGCCAGGGCTTCTTTCCAGTCTTTGCAGACGAGCTTCAGGCGCTGCTGCTGCTGCTGCGTCTCTTCAGCGAGCCCCAGCACCTGCAGCAGCAAATGGCCCTGCAGCGGGAGGGCCTTAGCCCTGCTGCTGCTGCTGCTGCTGCTGCTGCTGCTGCTGCTTGCTGCTGTGGGGCTCCACCTGCGCAGCGCCACAGCAGCAGTTTAAAACAAATTAAAACTCATTCTTCAAGATTAAATGCATGCAGAGATTTAATTATTCCAAAAACTCAATTAAGGCATGCAAACTCACAACTGATAAAAGACACAAACTAAATACTTGAAAGGCAGCTCAGCAGCAGCTCCTTAGCAGCAGCAGCAGCAGCAGCAGCAGCAACGGCAGCAGCAACAGCAGTGATAGCAGTGCTAGCGGCAGTCATAGCAACAGCAGCAATAGCAGGAGCAACAATCGCAGCAGCGGCAATACCAGCAGTAGCAGCTGCAGCAGCAGGAGCACCAGAAGCAGCAGCAGCAGCAACTGCAGCAATGGCAGCAGCAGAATCAGCAGCAACGGCAGCAGCAACAGCAGCACCAGCAATACGAGCATTAGCAGTAGCAGCAGCAACATTAGCATCAGCAAAGGCAGCAG